TGGCCTCGGGGTCGCGATTTCAATTTTTTCCGAACCATCGTGGGTCCTCGCTTTGAAGAGACAGCGCCCTGCGTCACCTCTTCCTTCTCGCTTCTCCTCCCCTTCCTCCTCCTCATATCCTCCTCCGCGAGGTACTGGTGATGTGCCAGGAATGGTGTCGGGGAGAACCGGAGTTGTTTTTTCCAACCATCCTGTGGTGTTGGGTCCTCGTTTTGTTTTGAAGAGACAGCGCCCCGCGTGACTCCTCCCGCTGCCCCCTCCGCAGGGTCCGCATGCGGGGGCCGCCACCCATTTTGGCACACCCATCACACGGTTCGTGGCCCCCCAGGGAGCTCCACCGACGGCCCCAGTGGCACAGGCCGCATGCAGGGACCGCCGCCCATTTTGGCACACCCCTCACACGGTTCGTGGCCCCACAGGGAGCTTCACGGAAGGCCCCAGTGGCACAGGCCGCATGCGGGGGTCGCCACCCATTTTGGCCCCCCCCTCACACAGTTCGTGGCCCCACAGGGAGCTCCACCGACGGCCCCAGTGGCACAGGCCGCATGCGGGGACCGCCACCCATTTTGGCACACCATTCACACGGTTCGTGGCCCCACAGGGAGCTCCACCGACGGCCCCAGTGGCACATGCTGCATGCGGGTGTCGCCACCCATTTTGGCAGCCCCCTCACACGGTTCGTGGTCCCACAGGGAGCTCCACCGAAGGCCCCAGTGGCACAGGCCGCATGCGGGGACCGCCACCCATTTTGGCACACCATTCGCACGGTTCGTGGCCCCACAGGGAGCTCCACCGAAGGCTCCAGTGGCACAGGCCGCATGCGGGGGTCGCCACCCATTTTGGCACCCCCCTCACACGGTTCGTGGCCCCACAGGGAGCTCCACCGAAGGCCCCAGTGGCACAGGCCGCATGCGGGGGTCGCCACCCATTTCGGCACACCCCTCACACGGTTCATGGCCCCACAGGGAGCTCCACCGAAGGCCCCAGTGGCACAGGCCGCATGCGGGGACCGCCACCCATTTTGGCACCCCCCTCGCACGGTCCGTGGCCCCACAGGGAGCTCCACCGAAGGCCCCAGTGGCGCAGGCCGCATGCGGGGACCGCCACCCATTTTGGCACACCCCTCGCACGGTTCGTGGCCCCACAGGGAGCTCCACCGAAAGCGGTACCCACAATGTGGTACTCGCAGCTGCCCATATGGTTGGGTCCGTCGTCCGGTTTGTTTAACGTGCTCCACGCCTCCCCGGGAATTCAGACAACGCGATCCGGGCGTGGTAACCGGGTCTTTTGGCGTTCCCCCCCCTCGCGCGGACTTTAACTACTTACAGTGGGAATCAGAAAGCAGGACTCTAACACTGGAGACTTGAATCTTCAACTGGTGCAGGGAGCAGCAACTTCGCCCTACAGCCTTGTGGTCCTACAATGGGGCCGGCGGATTGTTCCTCAACGTGTTTGTTCCCAATTTTTCCTGTTTAGGCGTTGGTTTCGGATGGAGCACGTGTTGCCCTTCCTTCTCCTGTTTCTCCTTCCGTCTCCTTCAAGCAGGCTTGTGCTGCGATGGCAGGCGACCATGTTTTTCGCCTGCCTGCCCCGCCTGGGGCGTCACCGCGTGCCGCGGTGCGCCGATCCACCCGTTTTTCTCCCCTGTCCAGCCCGCTTTCTTGGAAAGTCTCCGGGCGAAAGGCCGATCCATGTGCGGGTGCGAGTGCCGCAAGACAGGCAGGACGCAGGAGGGGCAGGTCCCCCTGGGGAAGCGAAGCGCGTGAGGGGTGTGCCGAAATGTGTGCGGGGCCGCCATGCGGACCCTGCCGCTCGGGCTTCCAGTGGAGTTCCCGATGGGGGGTCACGAAGCGTGTGAGGGGTGTGCAGAATCGAGTGCGGAGCCGCCATGCGGACCCTGCCGCTGGGGCCTCTGGTGGAGCTCCTGAGGGGGCTACGGAGCATGTGAGGGCCCTGCTGCTGGGGCCTTCGGTGGAGCACCCTATGGGGCCACGAAACGTGTGAGGGGGGGCGCAGGGTTGGGGGTGGAGCTGCATGCGGACCCTGCCACTTGGACCTCAGGTGGAGCACTTTCTATGGAACCACGGAGCGTGGGAGGGGTGCTCCGAGATATGAGTGGAACTGTAGGGGCCACATGACGACGACAAGGATATGCGGAGGGTTGAGGCAAGGGATGGGAGGAGGGAGGTGGGGGAGGAGGAGAGCAGCGGGAACGCGGGGCGCTATTTCTTCACAACACGGACCCAAAACCACAGGACGGTTGGGATCGGGATGCCAGAATCCATTGACGTGGTTAGCGTCGCAGGACAGGGCACACTGTTCGATATGATCGACACGGATACGGAAAGGATCGGCACGAAGACCGACAGCAGTTCCTGCCCATTTTGAACCGGGTTCGATGTCGGCGTTGCCGCGGACGTTGTCCATTTGAGACGGAAGGCCGCCTGCGCAACAGCGGCCGTTGCCGGTTTCGGACAATATTTGTTGTTGGGCATCTTACCCACATATTGCGTACCGATTCCGGGCGTGCCAACATGTTCAGTTGTTATGACGGTGATGTCAGCTTGAAGGAAAATGAATTATCGCACCAACCAACCCCTGCCGGGTGTCCAACCCTTGGTAACGAAAAGGGGGCGTGACGAAACCCGTGCGGGTGTTGCTTTGACTACGTAGGTGGCGCTGCCGCTCGCGGAGGGGTCCGCTTGCCGCGCATTGCTGCCCATTGGTCCCCTGGTAGTTGGCCGTCGTGCTTTGTCATGTCTGCGCGCAGTGAACAGCGTAATCGCGGTGCAAGAGCAAAGCGAATGCTGCCCGACCACGTGATGTTCGCACGAACACGGAATTAATCCCGCAAGAACAAGAAACTCGACACGAACTGCGCGAACTCCAGCACAGAAGGCGCCACGACATGCTGCACAAAATTGCCCGCACGAAATTCGTGTGCGAATGCATCAGGCGGTTTCCAGTTTTGGGGGACGCTCGCAGGCGCGGCCTGGCGCTTGCAAACGAGTCCAGGGGATCAATTTTGGGGCCTTTTTGCGCGGCCATTCTGGGGCCAAATCGCGCGGGCAATTTCGTGCGGGCAGTTTCGCGCGGGCAACTTCGCGCGGGCCATTTCGCGCCCCTGCGTCGTTCTCCTGGCCGCCCATGCTTGTCGGCTGCCGCTGGCGAGCCGGGTTGTGTTTGCCGCGGCGACGACGCTGATAGGGCGCAGCGCTGCTAACGCTGATGGTCGCAGTGCCGACGGTTCGTACGCATGTGACCATGATGAGAAGGGAGCGTGGTGCAACGCCCGCACCGTTGGGCGTGCTGCCAGGGGTGTTCATCCCGCCGTGCCGCAGACGATCTATCACTCAGAACAGGACAAACACATAAACACAAAGGGTTTTATTGGTTTTACGCCGGAAGGGGGCGTCGTTGAGAGGGTGCCTGGCACGGATGCGGGGACCGGTGTGGCGTCGGTCTTTGGAGCTGGCGGTTTGCGTGGCAAGTGCGTCTAGCTGGTCGCATGTGTTCGGAACGCGTGACGGGTGGAGAGGCCGCTTACCAGCAACTGGCAGTCCTCTGCCCGCGGGCCAAAACAAATCGTCGCGCGCTCGCAACGGGGCGTGGGAAAGGGGGTTGGGAAGAGAACGCGAGGCTCATTCCAAGAAGTCCCTCCGATAGGCAGCAAACAGTTCTTTGTCTTTTCATCTGCCGCACGGCCAACCGAACGAACGAACAACTGTCTCGGCGTACAGTGTTACCTTCGCTTGTGCGCATCCTTGCTTCCTTCCGTTGCTTCCTTCGTTTCTTTCTCGCCCTCCTCTCCTTTTTCCTCTTCCCCTGCTTTGTCTTGTCCCGCCCTCCCTTCCTTTCCAGCTCGGAGCTGTCACCGCGCGCGAAGAGCGCAACCCAAAGGGCGTTGCTGTAATTCCTTTGTGTGCCACGAAGTCTCGTGTAATTCCTTTGTGTGCGGTTTGGTTACACTGCCAACGCGGGGGGGACACAAAGGAATTTCCTTTGTGTACGATCGTTTTCGCCGCCCCCACAAGAGCACGCGCGATTCCTTTGTGTAGAGCTTGCTGTCCCGCCTCGAGGAGCGCGCGGGGCCTGGCGCTACAATCGCAAGGCCGCGGCGCCTGGCAGTGCGATGCAGCTGCGCCGGATACCGCGCCCAAAACGATCCTGCGTGGATTTCGGCTCTTCTGCCGGAGTCGCGCCGGCAGCTGGCCAGCCACATCGCCGGCCCTGCATGCCCGCGCGCGCTGCTGCGTTCTGCTGCCGCGACGCGTGTTGCTGTCAACGGATGAACAAATTGACGTTGCACAGTTGTTTGGCTGTGCCAAACCACCATGGAATGTTTGTTGGTAGCGGATATTGGGATCTTGTCGCCGCCGACAGCCTTGCCACGCCATACGTGTCAACTGCGTCTTAGAGCGCGGCCGTGCACTAACCCTGGTTCGGATCGCTGGGGATCCAGTCGCATGTGTGCACATGCGTTGCACCGTTGGTGGTGCCAAAACTTTTTTTTGTTTCTTTCTTATTTTGGCTCCTAATCGCACGAAGCTGCCCGGGCCGCCCAGGCAATCTCGTGGCCCATTTCGTGCCCCAGTCTGTCTCCGTGGGATCAGCCTCTGTGAAACCTCCTGAGGGGAATCCTGGAGGCCTCGCGCGGCACGCAACAGTCGAATAATCGAGGCCACATGTCCGTTCCGTGTGACACGGGTCGACGTTCGCGCGGCGATGTTTTGGCGTAGGTCCGACGTAGATCCGACGTGCGTCCGAGGTCACCCGCCGCGAGACCGCCGCAAATTCGATGTAGATTGGGCCTCAGATTGCCGCGCGAGGCCCCCGGGATTTGGGCGATTTTTCTCATGACCTCTGCGTCATCCCTTCTCCGTTTGCTCTTCCTGTCCTGTCCTCCCCACCGGGGGTGGGGGGGCCTCCCCTCGGGGCCGAGCGCCCGCCCGGGATGGAGCTTCGTCGCGAGCCGCGCCGAGCCCCCTGGGCACCCCCAGGCTCCTGCAAGAGCGGGTCCTCCTGCGGGTACTGCCACCTCTGCGAGGCGCCGGAGGGGGGGGAGGGTTGTCGAAAGAACAACACACACAATGTCCTTTCACAGTTCTGATGTTCCAACCTACTTCTAGCCTCGATCGCCAAAACAAATTTCGAGCATCACGGAAGTACCGAAGCTGGAAGGTTTTCACGTGTCGGGCCCGGGGCGGCGATACTCGTCCGACATTGTTTCGATCGTCTCTTTGGTGCTCGAAATTATTTCTTGGATGTCGCCCTTCAGTACGATGGGGACAACAAAACTCTACAGGGGAATACGGTGGAGGCCCATGCCAAGAAACACCCTGCTCGCCTCCACGGTGCACTGAGTTTCTTGGGTATCGATGGCTTTTTGCGCTGGGAAGCGTGACGTTCCCGCATCAAAAATCAAGAGACGCCCTGGGGTCTCAGGGTTGGGTTTCCTGTGGAAGGTTTCTTGTGGACTGGCCTCCACTGTATTCAATAATGGTATGGTAGGTCCGACTCGTTTCGACTCGTGGCGACCTTGCCGCCGGCGTTCAACGTTGAAAGTCGCCGCCGACCCCGAATCGGTCGATGCTGAGCGAGCTGACGTTTCGGAAACGTCCGATCGTTCAAGGTTGAACGATCCCTGTGAGGTCAGAAGCCAACGCCGGGGTCTACACGGCACGACCCTTCCTTGAAAACAATAGTCTGCCAGGGGACGATGTTTCGTGTTTGTTTGGCCATTGTTGCTTATTTAAGGACTGTGTTTAATATTTCTTCCAATATCCTCCTGTAGGAGGGCATACCCGACCTAATGCTGGGGCTCCGAAGGTGTGCGAAAGGCGCACCTCTCGTTCTTCACCTCGTCTGCTGCCCCCTCCCCCATGAGAGGGCAACGCCCGAGGGCCATGGGAACCGCCGAAGCTGGCTGGGGGGGGGCTGGGAGAAAGTCGTTACAAAAAGCTGGCTTCTTACATACATTCCCCCTTTCTCGTCACGATCACCATCATCACCACCGCCACCACCACCATTCCTCGTCATGACCACCACCACCACCATCATCGTCATGGTCTTTGCCTCTCCCAGACGAGGCGGGGGAGAAGAAGCGGAGGTGCAGGGAGTGGAAGGAGCGGAAGAAGACCATGGAGGCGGTCGCGCTCCCGAAGGACGCGCCAGGCCCTGCCTCGCCGCAGCGGCCCGAGGTTGGAGGGCGCCAACTTGGACACCTGCACTCGCAGGCGAGGTTTCTATCCCAACCCCCGGCTCTGCCGAGGAGAGTCGCCTTCCGCTAGTGTATGCCATATCCCATGGCTGGGCCCCAAATCTCTGGTCCGCTCGAAGACCCCACGAGACCTGGGAGCGGGGTCGTTGTATCCCTTCTTACGCACCGATCCCGGCTAGGCCCATCCTCTGAGCCCAGGATCGGTGCGATAGGGGGAAGCCAGGGGAACAAAGAGCACGGCCTCCCCCCCCTTCTTCCTCCTCCTCGTCCACTTTCTCCTCCCCCTCCTCCTCCTCCTCCTCCTCCTCCTCCTCCTCCTCCTCCTCCTCCTCCTCCTCCTCCTCGTTCACCTCCTCCCGCTCCTCCTCCTCCTCCTCCTCCTCCTCCTCCTCCTCCTCCTCGACCTCCTCCTCCTCTGGACATCATCCATCAGAGGCAGGAAGGGGTGTACCGATTCCGCTGACCTTTTGCTTCGCTGTTTGTCAGGTTTTTGGACCTCCGCCTTCGAGGCCTCCTCCTCCGCCTCCTCGTTCTCCTCCCTCCTCTTCATCCCTCTTGCTCCTCCTCCACCTCCTCCTCCCTCTTCCCCCTCCTCCTCCTCCCCCTCCTCCTCCCTCTTCCTCCTCCTCCTTCTCCTTCCTCCTCCTCCTCCTCCTCCTCCTTGAAGTTGTGGTCAGAAGTTCTGGTCAAAACGCATGATCCCGGGAGAGGTTTGGGTAGTAGCGGTGTTGGTGCCTGTCCTTTTCCCCTGATCTTGTGCCCAGGATCGGCCTTGCCAGGATCGGTGCAGGTGCACGTGCACACCCAAGAGGGAGATCGACTGTACAATGGATCTGCTCCAAACTTGATCTGTTCGTCGACTGTAGGTCCGACGGGTATTTTTTGAGTTTTGGTATACATCAACTTTGTAGTCGACCTCCTACTCGAAGCACCCTCCGATACCACGCGTTTTCCCCCAATCCGCGGCCCCAGAGGGCTCCCGACCCCGACCTGCAACAGTCCCCCTGGGGGGCCGTCCCTGCCTCCCGGAAGCCCGTGCTTGCTCTGGCCGCCCCGCGGGGCCCTTTCAGGGCGGGCCCCGCCGGCGGCCGAGACAGCGGGGAGAAGCTCCGAGGAGGAAGAGGTACCCATAACAATAGGGGGCCACATGCGAACCCTGCCCCTTCCCCCCACGATTTCTGAGGGCGAGGGTGGGGTTCACTTCGCTCGGGAGCTCCCGAACGAGGTGAACCCCACCCTCCCCCTCAGAACTCGTGGGGGGTAGGGGTAGGGTTCGCATGTGGCCCCCTACATAGCCTCGACCCTTCCCCCGTTTTCCTATTTGGGGGGGCCTCATGGGCGGCCCTCGTCGCCACCGCTGGATTCGCCTCGAAGTGCTGGTCAGAACGCACCCCGGGAGAGGTCCGGGGAGTGGCGGTATCGAGACCTTTTTGATTTCCCGAGAAGCGCTGGGAGGGAACCGGTCATGCTTGCGGAGATGTGGGCGCCCTGGGGCCCTACAGTGGAGGCCCATTCCAAGAAACACCCTGCTCGCCTCCATGGTGCCTTGGGTTTCCTGGGTTTCGACGGTTTCGCGATGGAAATTGTGACGTTCCCACACCAAAAATCAATGGACGTTCTGGGGTCTCAGGGTTGGGCTTCGTGTGGAAGGTTTCTTACGGAAGGGCCCCTACTGTAAGGTCCAGCGTCTCGAAGCCATCGGAGATTTGGGCGCCCCCCAGACACGCGATGCTTGATTTTTTCAGGACGGCGTCCCCTGAAGTCCCGACCATTTCCCCGGGACCAGTTTTTCGTCCCGAGTCGTTGTTTGACGGTCCCGAGGCCCTTGGAGGGCCCCCTAGGAGCCGACAATCATCAGAAGCCTCCCGTCCTAAGTTCTCTACGACGCGATCGTGTCTGGTCCTGAGACCCTGCTCCAGATTTCGTAATAAAAGGGAGGGGGTCTGGACCCTCCAAGGCAAGCCATTGCAGACCTCCCCCGCGGGAGAACCCTCCAAAACATCGTCCCCAACAGACCCCCCAGGCCCCCCAAGATAGTTTGGAAGAGACCCCCCCCCGAAACGAGACAGACCCCCCTCCCTTTCCTACGAGATCTGGAGGAGGGTCCGACGTCTCGAGGCCCTCGGGACGGAGGCTCTGCATATCCTTCTCGGTGCCTCGGGGGTCCCCTGCCGGGCCTCTTATATGCGGGCCGTCCATCGGGCGGGGAAAACACACGCAGACACAATTCATCGACGACTCCCCAGAAAATATATGGGAAGATGTGGGAAGTGTCGGGGAAGACAAAAAAAAACCAGGAAATGTGGGAAACTATAGGGGAATCTTTTTATTTGTGTGTACTTATATTTGTGTGTCCCAGGGCCCCTTCAGGGACAAACGCACAGACACAATTCATCGACGACCCCCCCCGAAAATATGGGAAGATATGGGAAGTGGTGGGGAAGACAAAAGCCCAGAAAATAGGGGAAACTGTGGGGAGTCTTTTTTTATTTGTGCGTCTTTGTTTGTGTGTGTCCCAGGGCCCCTTCAGTCGAGCACCACGGCTCGGGGCGAGAGGCCCGTGCCCAGGGGCCTCCGCGTCGAGATTGTCGGGAGCCCGCGTCGCGACGAGAGGTCGAGGCGCCGGACGTCGGGGAGTGCCGCCGTCTCGGGGCCCAAGGGGCGGGGGTGTAAGCAAGAATGGTCGGAGCGCTGGACTGTTTTTTCACCCTTGCGCGAAACAGCTCGCTCCTCCCCTGCCCAAGTGCCGGGTCTGGGGGATTCCGTGAGCACCCGGTATGCTGCTAGCACCCCGTGCCGCCCGCGATGGGCAGCCACTTGGGCCACTTGGGGCGGGGGTGGGAAGAAAGGGTCTGGAGACGAGTCTTCTCTGCTTGCATATTTGGAATATGATTTGAATATTTTGAATATTTTGGGCCCCAAGTGGCTTTTGGGTTTTTTTATGTTACAAAAAAAAGAATACCTTTTGCTTATCATGTATTTGTCTTCCGACGTCCGCCTGTAGGAGGACATGCCCGACCGAACTACGTGTAGTCGAAGCGAGCGAGGGCCTGGACGGCCCAGCCAGCACACGGGTCGGGGCTCAGGAGACGGGGGTCAATGCAAACGGGGGTCAGCCAAAGCGCCGGATCTTGCAGGATCCTGCAGGGGCAGGGTCGCATCGACCCGGGCTTGGGTGCAGGATCCTGCAGAATCTTGCAGGATTCTGCAAGGCCTGACTGACCCGGGTCTGGTTTGACCCGGGTCAGACGATCCCCGACAGTTGGTTCGCGACACACGGGCTCTGTACTGGAGCGGCCGTCATGGCCAACACCAGGTCGCACAGCTCCGCCAAGGCACGGGGCCACCACGGGATCACATCAGCCCAGCGGGGCTCCCGAGGGCTCACGGGAGGGGTCACGCGACATGCCCGCCAACACCAGTGTGTGACTGCGACTGCCGCAAGTTGGCAACGTTACGAAATGGGCGCGGCCAGATACGATGTCGTATCGAGAACAGGGCAACGTCGTAACGTCACCACCGAAGTCCTAGACCCCGTCTTTCTACGCCATGTTTCGAGCCGGATCGATCGGTGAGGGCATCGGGCCCCGAAACAAGGCAAAATTGCACGTTGTGACAAACATGCGATGCCAGGATTTTAGGGTAGTGGGTGTTTGTTTTTCCCAACCATCCTGTGGTGTTGGGTCCTCGTTTTGAAGAGACGTCGCCCCGCGTTCTCCTCCTCTCCTCCTCCTCCCCTCCTTCCTCCTCCCTCCTCCCCCTCCCTTCTGGCACACCCCTCACACGTTTCGTGGCCCCATAGGGAGCTCCACCGAAGGCCCCAGTGGCTGCGCCCGCATGCGGTTCCACCCCCCATTCTGGCACACCCCTCACACGTTTCGTGGCCCCATAGGGAGCTCCACCGAAGGCCCCAGTGGCTGCGCCCGCATGCGGTTCCACCCCCCATTCTGGCACACCCCTCACACGTTTCGTGGCCCCATTCGCTGGCCCCATAGGGAGCTCCACCGAAGGCCCCAGTGGCTGCGCCCGCATGCGGTTCCACCCCCCATTCTGGCACACCCCTCACACGTTTCGTGGCCCCATAGGGAGCTCCACCGAAGGCCCCAGTGGCTGCGCCCGCATGCGGTTCCACCCCCCATTCTGGCACACCCCTCACACGTTTCGTGGCCCCATAGGGAGCTCCACCGAAGGCCCCAGTGGCTGCGCCCGCATGCGGTTCCACCCCCCATTCTGGCACACCCCTCACACGTTTCGTGGCCCCATAGGGAGCTCCACCGAAGGCCCCAGTGGCTGCGCCCGCATGCGGTTCCACCCCCCATTCTGGCACACCCCTCACACGTTTCGTGGCCCCATAGGGAGCTCCACCGAAGGCCCCAGTGGCTGCGCCCGCATGCGGTTCCACCCCCCATTCTGGCACACCCCTCACACGTTTCGTGGCCCCATAGGGAGCTCCACCGAAGGCCCCAGTGGCTGCGCCCGCATGCGGTTCCACCCCCCATTCTGGCACACCCCTCACACGTTTCGTGGCCCCATAGGGAGCTCCACCGAAGGCCCCAGTGGCTGCGCCCGCATGCGGTTCCACCCCCCATTCTGGCACACCCCTCACACGTTTCGTGGCCCCATAGGGAGCTCCACCGAAGGCCCCAGTGGCTGCGCCCGCATGCGGTTCCACCCCCCATTCTGGCACACCCCTCACACGTTTCGTGGCCCCATAGGGAGCTCCACCGAAGGCCCCAGTGGCTGCGCCCGCATGCGGTTCCACCCCCCATTCTGGCACACCCCTCACACGTTTCGTGGCCCCATAGGGAGCTCCACCGAAGGCCCCAGTGGCTGCGCCCGCATGCGGTTCCACCCCCCATTCTGGCACACCCCTCACACGTTTCGTGGCCCCATAGGGAGCTCCACCGAACACAGTGGCACCCGCTCCACCACAGGGCACACACCCCTCACACGTTTCGTGGCCCCATAGGGAGCTCCACCGAAGGCCCCAGTGGCTGCGCCCGCATGCGGTTCCACCCCCCATTCTGGCACACCCCTCACACGTTTCGTGGCCCCATAGGGAGCTCCACCGAAGGCCCCAGTGGCTGCGCCCGCATGCGGTTCCACCCCGCATTCTGGCACACCCCTAACACGCTTTGTGGCTCCATAGGGAGCTCCACCGAGCGCCCCAGTGGCTGCGCTCGCATGCGGTTCCACCCCCCCATTTTGGCACACCCCTCACTCGTTTCGTGGCCCGGGGGCTCCACCGAAGAATATATCCACAATTGCGGTATTCACAACTACGTATGGTTGGGTCTTTCGTCAGGCTAATTTTCTTGTTTTTAAATTCTGGCAGAATTATTTGCATGGAGGGAGAGGGGGGGGTGCGTGGCGGGGCCCGCCAGAGAATCTGCACCTCATAAAAGTCGGGGAACACCTGCACTCCTTCGCGGCCCAGCGCCGTGGGGAAATGCCATGCAAGTAAACTCGCCAGAGTCTACGGTCGGGAACTTCTGCTTAGCGTTAAGTCGGGGTGGTCCGCGTGCAGGGGGAAGATTCAAGAATAGTAAAAAAGTCTGGTGACGATCTATCGCGCTTGCCTGACTATGTTTAACCATCCATATCTCATTATTCTTATATATATATATATCGAAGCTCTCCTGTAGGAGGATTTGCCCGACCTAAGCTGAGCGCGCCGCAAGTTTGGCCCACCACGCCTCGGCCCGACGCGCTGTCCACGCCGCGGTCCCGGAAATCTCCCACGCCCCCAGGCCTCTCCCCGCCGCCCGGCCCCCGAGGAGCGGAACGACGCGCTGCCCGCGTGCAGGGCACAGCGTGTCGCCGAGCCGCCGCCGCGACACGCTGAGCAAAAGTTCTTGACCAGAGGGGGGAGACGGCCTACAGGGGGAGAAGGGGGGATAATGGGAGGGGAGGAGGAGGTGGAGGAGGAGGAGGAGGAGGAGGAGGAGGAGGGAGGAGGAGGAGGAGGAGGAGGAGGAGGGGGGGGGGGAGGAGGAGGGGAGGAGGAGGAGGAGGAGGAGGAGGAGGAGAGGAGGAGGAGGGAGGAGGAGGAGGAGGGAGGGAGGAGGAGGGAGGGAGGGAGGGGGAGGAGGACGAGGGCGGAGGAGGGGGGAGGAGGAGGACGAGGGGGGGGGAGGAGGGGGAGGAGGAGGAGGAGGGGGGGACGAGGAGGGGGGAGGAGGAGGAGGAGGACGAGGAGGAGCAGGAGGAGGACGAGGACGAGGACGAGGAGGAGGAGGAGGAGGAGGAGGAGGAGGAGGAGGAGGACGAGGAGGAGGAAAGTGGAGGAGGGCGGAGAGGAGGGCGGAGAGGAGGGCAGAGGAGGAGGACGCTCTCGGCGCTCTCCTGGAAGGTGCCGGCGTCGCCGGCGTCGCGGCCGCCCCGGGCCAGAGGCTCCTCGGGCTGCGCCACGCCTGTCAGGCGGAGCGGGGGTCGCACGCCCGGGGCCGCGAGCGGAGAGGGCACGCCCGCGGCGGCGAGGCTCGTCGGGGATCGAAGCACCATGCCCAGACCTCCTCGCGCTGTATTCTCGGTATTCTTAGGTGTTCTTCGGGGTTCTTCGGTGTACGACGGTGTTCTTCGGTATTCTTCGGGGTTCTCTCGCTGTATTCTCGGTATTCTTCGGTATTCTTCGCTGTACGACGGGAGGTTCTTCGGTATTCTCGGCCTCTGGGGGCCCTCGCCGGGCCCCCGGGGGCGTCAAATATAACAGCTCGGGATGAAAAAAAACGGTCTCGGGGAAGGGGCCCGGGCCTCATGGGGGCGGGCTCGTGGCGGCGAGGCTCGTCGGGGGTGGAAGGGGAGGAGCACGACGACCCCTGATGTCCTGGTGCTGCGATTTTTTCACCACGGGCGTTGTCGCTCAATTTCGGGCCCCGGGACCCTCACACATCGATCCGGCTGGAACAACGGCGCAGAAAGGTGGGGTCCAGGGCTCTGGGTGTGATGTTTCCGATGTTGCATTTTTTCGAGACGTCGGATCTGATGGAAGCACGATGGCCATGGCCATCGGACACCGAGAGAACGCCCACCCAGACACGCCGACTGAGGAAATCTGCATCGGTTCGCTCGGCATTGGCATTCGAGTTCTCCGGTGCAGTCCTTGGTCGGTTTCGCTGATCGACGTACGTTTCGCCAGAAACATTCGTTTGTCTTTAGACGTCGATTAGCTATCCCGCTGGGGTCCACTCTGAATGTGGTACCGTTCGCTCGTGGTGTGCCCCTAGCAGCTTTCACTGAAAGGCGTTCTGCATATGGGCATTCTGCCAGTTTTCGAAGCCAAGATGTCGCGGCATCTCGACGACGCCGATCTTGGCCATGGTCCGTGCAGGCCGTCGCCGATTCGCGAGGATGATGCACGGAGTGGCGATGACCAAGATGACGGTGACCAGAGGATCAGCGCCGACGCTTTCGCGTTCCCAGCCTTGGCCATGGCCATCGTTCTCTCGCCCTCCCTTGCGAGGGGGGGGGGGGCGCCCTGTGCTGCTCCGCCGCTCTCTCCGAGCCTGCGCTGTCCTCGCCCCTTTTCTCTGAGGTCTGGGCTTCCGTCGGGCCTGTCCCTCTGCAGGGGGACTATGCAAGAAGTTGGTCAAGCACATCGTATAGGGGACGATTTGCCGAGCATTTCTGGATTTTTTGTGATCTGTATTTGTTTGATTATTTGTATGATGCTCCAACCTACTTTAGCCTTGATCAGCAGAAAGAATTTCGAGCGCGAGAAAAGTGCCCAGAAAAGTGCCCCCAAACTCTAGGGTTTTCACGTGTCGGGCCCTGGGAGACACTGTTTCGACACTGTTTCGACACTGTTTCGACACTTTCGACAATCTTCCGACACCTTTCCGGGTGCTCGAAATAATTTCTGCGATGTGGTCTTCAAGTGCGATGGGAGCAGCATGAGCCTTTGCTTCACTTTCCGTCCAGCATCCGCCCGCAGGGGGCACATGCAGGGGGACCATGCAAGAAGTTAGCAAAGCACATCGTATAGCAGTCGAGCATTTCTTTTTGAACCTATTTATATATATATATATATATATATATATGTTCGTCTATTTTCTCACTGTCCGTCCAACAAACAAGTCGTATGGGGAAGATTTTGTCTGTATGTCTCAGTGCATTGAAACATCCAGCTCTTGGTTCTGTTTGAATCTGTGTGTTTGCCTATGTTTCGCTCTCCGCCCGGCCTCCGCGCGCAGGGGGCACACCTGCCCGACCTCCGTCTGGGCCGCTCTCGCCCCGAGGGCCTCGGGCCCTGGGGGCCCTTCGCGGAGCGATCCGGGCTCCGGGGGCCGTGGGCGGCGACCGACGGCGAGAGGGGGCAGGCACAGTTGGGGCGCGCACCAGGAGACCACATACTTCTCCTCCTCCTCCTCCTCCTCCTCCTCCCTCCTCCTCCTCCTCCTCCTCCCTCCTCCTCCTCCTCCTCCTCCTCCTCCTCCTCCTCCTCTCCTCCTCCTCCTCCTCCTCCTCCTCCTCCTCCTCCTCCTCCTCCTCCTCCTCCTCCTCCTCCTCCTCCTCCTCCTCCTCCCCTCCTCCTCCTCCCCCTCCTCCTCCCCCGCCGCCCTAAGAACTCAGTGAGACCCTCCGAGTACAGTAGGGGCGCGCACCAAGAAACCATATACTTCTCATCAGGGTACCCTGGGCTTCTTCACTCCGCGAGCTGCGCAGTGCATTTCCGCAGCTGTCGAAGAGTCTGCTGCGTTCAGGGTGCTCCAGGCTTCCCCTCGGGTGCACCTCGCGCGCGGGTTTTCAGGGTTGGGTTTCTTGCGAGGGTGTCTTGCGGCCGCGCCCGCAGTGTAGTAATCTTCAGATGTCGAAGAACATGTTTTAAACGTATCTAGAGCATGCATAAACATGTCTTCAACATGCTTAGAATATCTATATATATATATATATATTGGTAGATCACCTTGGTATCGTTCTAGCTTTAAGCAGAGGTCGATCAGGATGGCCGTTGAATCCGTGAGGATGACCCTTGTTCTCCATGTCCTTACCCGTTTGGGCTCAAGGCTCCGAGCGCGCTTTCTGGCGCGCGACGGATGGCATCGGAGTTGCTGGTCACAGTTGTCGCCGGTATTTCACAGGCGACTCACGGTTGGCTGTTGGGGTGCCCGCCGGTGCCGAGCTGCCCGACCTTCTCGTGCCCGGCGATCCTTCCCTGTCCAAATCTGCACTGCCCTGACCTGCAGCGCCCGGCGTGCCACGCGACCCAGTGTCCTCAGGCGCCCTCGTGTTCGGCCTGCGAGGCAGGCGAAGAGTGCTCGTGTGACGTGGCGTCGTACAGCTGTTGGGTGCCTTTCGTGGATTTGCAGCCCTACCGGAACCTGGACATAGTGACGGTGGCGTGGGAGACGGTGCTGAGGGGCGTGCCGATTGGGATCGGCGATAAGAGCACCTACAACTTCGGAGCCTTCCCCCAGGGACGGCGGTGAGAGAGGTTGCTGGACGAGACCGACTGCGTGGCCAACTCGGAGGAGTGTCGCCGCGGCCCAGTCGTTCACCCACCTGGCGGAGCTGGCGGCGGAGACCTCGGCGTCGAGCCCGTGCCGGGCCCGATCGTCGACGCGGGCGCGGCGGGGAAAGTCCGTGGGACTCTCACCCCGAGGGAGCGCGACCGTGAGGTTCGTGCGCCCGCCGCGTCCGAGGGCCGCTGGGTGATCGTCGTGGCCAACGGGTCCCTGGGGGTCACGGTCGGCGACGATGTGGCGATGCCGTCGGGCGCGCTGATCTCGCCCGACGGGCGGATGGGGCTGGAGCCAGCTCCCTGCTCGGCCGAAAGGGTCTTCGTGGAGCGCCTGCGCACGGACGAGACGCCGGCGGACTACGTTGGTGCGAAGGGACCTTCGGCTTCGAGCTCGGACGCCTGCGTGGTGGGCGTGCAGTGCAACAACCAGGTGGTCAGGCAGCGGGTGTGGCGCGAGGTGTCGGTGAAGGTGCAGCAGGTCGAGTTCAAGGACTGGCCCATGCCGAGGCCGCGTACGGTGCTCTGGTGCGTACAGTTCGTGGACCGCCGCGGCGACGGTCCCATGGACCACCACCGCGGGTGGATGGCCAACCTGAAGCTGTCCAACACGTACTTCGGAGTTCAGGAACATGGGCACGGGATGCAGGCCTTCCAGTTCTTCGGGGAGTACGGCCAGATTGACTTTCCAAATCAGGTCGGGCTCGAAGTGATCATGGGGCGGTGCCAGGAGACAGAGTTTCACTACGAGAAGGCGAACACAAGCAGCAAGGCGAACAAGCAGGCGCAGGGGGTGACCCGCGACGAGGCGGCCTACTTCTCCGGCTCGCACCGCTTAGGCGGGGAGGTGATGAACTGCCCCTGGTTGGTGGAGTGGGTTTCGAAGGAGATCGGCCGAGACGTCGGGGTTACCGGGCAGATGAAGAAGGCGCGGGAGGAAGCCAAACTCTCGCGCAAGGATGGCGCGTGATGAGCCGAGGCCAGAGGGCGACCCCACCCTGCTGGCCTTCACACATGAGGGGGAGCACGATCGAGGAGGTCGTGCGTGTTTTGTGGCCCAGCGCGACGCTCTTCCCCTGGCTGTTCATGAGCGCGTTCGACGTGATGAGGGCTGGGAGTCTCTGTCGCGATCCGTACGACGACGCGTGGAGGCCAGAGAGCACCGTTCCGACTGGGAGTCTGACGTGGCGCGGGCGCTCAACGAGCTCGGCGGCTACCAGGACACTCCCGCCAGTGAGCCTGTCGGTGTTGGCACCGACAAGGCCTCGCCGGCGCAATTCAGGCCTCTTGTGCGCGACCTCGGGCTGACGCACGTTCGTGAGTGCGTGGCCCGGTGGGGTAAGCCTCCCGCCGACCTCACCTGCCGGGGAGCCTTTCGAGAGCTCCAGGCGTCCCACAGCTATCAGGGGTCCCCTGTTTCTGTGGCCCCTCTGAACCTTGACCTTCTCAGCCTTCCTGCTGCTGGGGCGCCCCAGGACCTGGGGGGTCTTGTCGAGAATGGCCGCGATGAAGTTCAGAAGTTTGTTGGAGACTACCTCTTGCCAAAGGATCAGGCGGACGAGCGTTTGAGCTCGAGCGGGGTCCCTCAGCGCCCCTACCTCGATCCTCTCCTCCACCGTCCTCGTGAATATGAGCGTGTCATCCGGGCTCTTGCTCAACGTGGGATGCTTGAATTCGGCTTAGAAGTAAAAGAGCAGTGTGGCTTTTTTTCGGTCTGGAAGAAAAACAGGACCCAGCGTTTAATCATCGACGCCCGTAGGTCTAACTGTTGGTTTAAGGATCCGCCGAAAACTCGTCTTGCCTCGGGGGATTCTTTTTCACGATGTTTGCCGCGGCCGACCTGGCCCTTGAATTGGGCCAAACCGACATCCAGGATGCTTTTTACCAGATGGCCCTGCCCGAGCCCCTCAGGCCCTACTTTGGTCTCGGGAAGGCTCGGGCGGGACGCGTAGGTGTCACCTGTACTGTAGAGGGGGCCTCTGTAGGACCGAACACGTGGATCTTCCCAAGGCTGAAGGTGCTG